AAACTAGATGGCATCCTTCACAAAGGCGTTAAAAGAGCAAGACTCAATTACATTTGTAACAAGTTGGGCATGATCAATATCTATGCTCAAACTTGAACGGGTGTTATGGAAAATACCAAAGATAAAGCTTGTATATAAGGTAACCTAATAGAGGAGATTTATATTAGATTTTTTCTATGTTAGGTATGTTCCTAATTTGGGGAGAGAGAGGTGTTTATAAATTTGTAATGTATGATTTCAATGAGGAATAAGTAGGGAGTCTCTTTGAGTCACATCTTTATATTAAATTTTATAAACTTCGAGGATAAAATTTTATAAAGATGAGAGATTGTAAAAAATGAATTTTAAATAATAATATTATTTTTAATAAAAGAGAAATTTTGAAAAGGTGGAAAGGTAGATATAATCGACAGATAGTTTTGTCTTTACGAGTTGCATGTCCTATTAGAACAAAATGAAACAAAGAGAGCAAGAGATTGACATAGCAAAAAAGGAAAGTATCATAAGTGCCCTAGCTGATCAGTAAAGAATAAGGAAGAAGGAAGAAGGAAGAAGTGGAATTTGTTGTGCAAAGAAGTGGGGGCGCTTACTTCTCTTTAGGGGTTGCATGCCCCATTCGAAAAAAATGAAGAAGTGAGAGAGAGATAGACACAGCGAAAAAGAAGAAGCATAACGAGTGCCCTAGTTGATCGATAAAGAAGAAGGAAGTGGAAGTTGTGGGAAGAAGTGGGGGTTGCCTACTTAACAGGATTTCAACGATCTTGTAGGAAGTCCATGTTGAGCCCTAGCGTACGGAAGAAAAATCGTTGAGGGCTCTGTGAGAGAAGGAAGAGGTGGTGAGGCGTCGACGCTTGAACATTGTGTAAAGGAAGAAGAAGAAAAAGCAAAGGACGCGCGAGTGAAGTTAATGAGGAAAAACCCTGATTGAGCCTAGGTAGGAGGAAGAAGCATGACGTACCTTGGAGGTGAGTCGTGCACGTGTTCTACTTTAAGGTGGAGTGGGAAAAGTTCTTTGCATGTGGGGAAGAAGCTCATGTGGGAGGGGGCCAAACCAAATAGTGGAATAAGGTAAATGTTAGGGTTGTATTGCTATTAAGTATACCATCTGTAATCTAAATTTATGTGAGATTTAACTTAAATAAAAATTTGAAGGCTAGAAAATCCTTGAGTTTTAAGGAAGAGGCAAAGAATTTTGAACTAACAAAAGGTTAGTCCTCCAATCATAAATTCTTACATAGTTAAATTATTGTCGATTATTAAATATTAATTTAGAAAATTTATGAGTTTTAATTAGGTGAGTTAATTGAAAGATTTGGTGAAATTGTATAGAGATTGTATAGAGATTGGGTGAGCGAGGAGTAATATAGAGGGATTTTGAAAGGTGCAACATTTGTCAATTAAAGAATAAGTAAGGCAAATAAAGGGCATTCAAGAGTCCAAGTTAGTAGTTGCTTTCTTATTTGTCTTAAATTAATGCTTTTAAAAAACTTACATTATTAACTTAAAATATTTGCTTTATGCATTTTGCAATTTAAGGGATCCTTGAAATGAAAAGAATTGAAACAAGAAAGGGTAAATGATTATTCAATGACTTTAAATAGATATAATAAAAAGAATCGAAATATAAAGAATTAAGTCAATTAAGATTTACCCCATTGACAGCCTATGGGGACACAATTTTACCCATGCACAAAAAATGAAATAGAAATGATAAATGTATACCTTCAGGTGCAAAATCTTAAGGGTACCTAGGGGTACAACCTTTTGAAGATACTTTCAGATATGAAAATAATTCTAATAAGACTTCTAAAAAAATGAATAAATACTTAAATTGAAACGAGGAGTAATTTAAAATGAAAACTTACAATTTTATTAATTAATGAATCACATTTCTTTGGTACATGTATGCATAGTATGTGTATATTAATTTAATGCATAACAAGATTATAATTACTCACTAAGTGGTGGTAAACTTGTTGAAATTAATTGTTTCTTTCACGCAACACTCTAGATTGAATGACTGACATAAGGGAGTTGGTTTTCAAAAGAATAACTATTGATACTAGGTAGTAGGTTGTCTGTTACGATTCTAATTTCTTATACTGCTTATTTCTAAGTAATGCTGTGATGTAGTTGGTTTCATTGTGACATTGTTTTACTTTCAAACTATGTTGTTGCTTTGGTTGAATTTGATTAATGTTTAGTGTACTTTATATTTTTTTAGTAACTCTTCTTATTATTAAAAGCTAGAATGGTTTATTATATAAAATAAAAGAAAAGTTAATATCATCCGATCACAGTTTTTGACTTGGTTAATTCTAAGCTATCAGGTTAGATCTTGACAGAGCGTGTCATCAAATTAAATCGTTTGATGAACCAACTGATTACAATGAACAAAAAGAAGTGAGTTTGGGCATGCGATATACAATAAGTGCTTGAACAACAAGGATGCTAAGGTTGTTGATGATTGTCAGGCACAATTACATAATATAAGATGCATTTTCACATCTCTGATCACTTCTGAGGCTTGAAGAAGCACGAACATGTGCAACTCATAAGGGTAAGTCACAGCTTAATCATTGATAGTGGGAATTCCAAGAACTGAAGATTGGCATCAATGTTTATTTTAATGGGTATGCTTATATTTACAATAAATATTTAAACTTTGAGAGAGGAAAGATTACTTGTCATCCTAGTGCTCTTTTATGATAAAAAAATGTACTTTGGGACTTGATTTCTTTTCAAGAAATAAACATCGATAAGTCATATGTAAAGACAAGCGTTTATGATCTTGCTAGTTTATATCACCATTTTATTAGAAACTTTAGTATGGTGCTTACTTCTGTTGCTGATTGTTGAAATTTAAAAGTTTTAAAAGAAATAGCAGAAGATAATTTTGATTTAATTACATAAAAATTAACCGACACTCCCATATATTCTTGAATTTTGATGATTTTTTGAAGTTGAAGGTAAGGCATCTAAGGTCGCCTTGTAGTTGTTCTGGGAAAAATAAATATCCAATTGTTATTATTTTGTAAAACTAAATAACAGAATAAAACTTTTCAATTTTCAAGCTTTATGACTTTGGTGTTATTATTTGATTAAAAAGAACTTATCATCCATTCTAATAAAGAAGTTTTCAAATTTTAAAATGCTAAAAATAGTTTAAATGCTAGGCATATGAAATAGAGTTCATAACTTTAAAAATATAAATTATTATTCATTGAAAATATACTATTTTAAACAAAGTAGTTGATGCAATTACTAAAAACTATCTTCATGGAGCATTTTCTTTTGGAGTTGTTGGTTCTGGCAAACAATCAGATAAATATATAAACAATTTGTACGTTTGACTTATAATAAAAAAATGTAAAAATGAAAGTGATGCAAAGCTTTCAATAAGTAATGGATTTCTCTTTAAATGAACTCAACTTTGCATTTCAACTTTTTTGTTTTGTTGTATATTGCTCCAGAGGTTGAAAATAAAATTTCCTCGAGGGAAAAGAGAGATATAAAAAAGAGGAGAAAAGTTAAATATGAAAATATATGTGACCTATAACTACATCCAATCGGATAAATATATAAACAATTTGTATATTTCACCTATAAGTCAAAAAAGTAAAAAAGAAAAGTGATATAAAGTTTACAATTAGTAATGTATTTCTCTTTAAATAGACTCAACTTCGCATTTTAACTTCTTGGTCTTTGTTGTATATTGCTTGAGCGGTTGAAAATAAAATTTACTTAGGGGGGAAGATAAAAAAAAGAGGTTAAGAGTGAAATAGGGCTTTAAAAAAAAATAGAAGCGAGAGAACCCACAACTTTTAAGTACTTCTAGAAGTTAAAATAGAGTTTTCCCACTGATTCATCGGCCCACTCAGATTTGTCAAGGAACGGTAGTTATTAGGCCAAAAAGAAGCTACAAAAAAGGAGCGAATGATCCTGATACATAGGATTTTCACCATTGATACTTGGGATTATAGAAAATAATACATTTTATATCGGTAAAAGCAAGGCAATAGAACATATGCCCTTCCCACTAGCTTTATGTAATATATAAAGTTAGATATATGGAATGAAAAAATTAAGTTTAATTGTAAATTTTGGATGAAATTGTATCCCTCATATGGCACCTTATATTTTGGGTTGTATTAATGAGATTCATTATTTCCATAAAACACGAGCTATTGATAATTATCCTTTGGATATTAAAATGAAGTTTGATTAAGAGCTAGTAACATTAATTTTTATGAAATTCATTAATATTGTCCCAACCAAGGAACGTTAACAGCCCTATCAAGATCTACGGTTTTTCAAATAATAGCAATCTGAATTTAATCATCTGTCATTGTTAGAAGGTTGAGGTTCTCGTATATAAGGAATACCCTGAAGTATCCCAATTAGAGGGAATGGTTGACAGGTACTATGAAGATTATAAAACTTGTTGTTAAATATCAATTCAAGCTGAATTTAAATCTTGTATGGTAAGGAAGCTAAGGGAAGCTAAGATTTTGTTGTGAAAATTTACTAATTAAAAGCAACAGGATCCCTCATCAAAAGAGCTTCTTGAAATCCAAGATTTTTGTGGTTTTGATTTGATTTGATTACTAAATTGCAAAATTGTAATTTTTAGGCTTGTATGAATCTGGAAAGTTAGTCCTGAGTACCAAGAAAAATTGTAGGAGGTGGGTAACAACATTAAGAGACACTTTAAGGAATCCCATGCATCAATAATGGCCTAAAAGAATCTAAGTTTGACTTGCTTAACAATTGACCAATTCAAATGGAATTTCTTTATGATTCATGCACTTTACAAATTCCAACCAATCTTTATAACATGTTTATTTTACTATTCATGGTGATATAATTTTCTTTTAGTCCTCTACAAGCTAAGAAATGGTAATATGCTTCAAAAATATACATAATAAGCCATAAACTGCGTTAACTCCATTTAATTTTAAAATTTAAAGCACTGGAAGTTAAGTAAAATAATTACTTACAAGATTACCGCGGAAGGAGTCAAGGATATGAATATGTCCATCCATAGTAGTTAAAAGCATGAGCCTTCCGTCGTTGCTAAATTTTAGTACGTTAGCTTCAGATTTATCTGCTCCAACGGAATATGTATCAAATGGGCCCTAAGGAATGATGAATAATAGAAAACAGAGTTAGAAATCATTAAAAAAACCAAATGATGTCACTATATGGATGACAATCATTACAAACCTTTTCAAATTTTCGGGCATCAAACATCCTTACACATCCTCCAAACGCAATAGCAAAAACCATTCCTTGATCGTCATAAGAAACTGCAGGTCTTCCTTGCACACGTAGAAGACCCTACAAAGGACATGTAAGGTTTTTAACTTTATTACGGCAATATATATATTCTAACTAGGATTTATTTTGAGGTTCGTGCCTGAGACTTCTCTGCTCGTTGATCCCATAACAAAACGGTTCTATCAAGAGAACCTGACAAAAAAGACTCTTTACGAGGACACAATGAAAGAGAAACAACCCTAGGAAAATATAAGTACAAGTTATGTGATTATATTGTCTTTAAATGAGAAATTCTATGTATAAGAGCACAACCGCATACCTATCATGGTGCCCTTTAAAGTACCGCAAATATTTGTTATCATTGAGAGACAAAAGACGCAAAGATTCTAAAAGAAGTTATAACAAAATAAATATATAAGTTCAAAGTAACCAGTGCATACTGCAAAAGTAACATCATCAAGTTCACCCACCATCCCAACCATTTTTGGATGAGTATATGACTGTTGTTGGATGAGCAGTGAAGCAGACCAAATCAACTCCATACTTTTTGCTATTTATGGTCTTCAAGCACCTGTAATGGAAATACAGCGTCAGGCAAATAAAACAGTATTTTCACACCAGTAGAATGAAATAGCCAAAATTAAGAGCAACAAGCAAGAAAACAATGATTATTAAACAAACAATTTAAACCAAAACTTGCATCAAAAAGCCATGAAAAGCTGAAGCAATATACAGAAGAGGTCATGACTCATGTTTGATATAGTAGTGATCATAATCAATTGAATAAATACTAATTAAATTGATAATTCATATCAGAGCTGATATCAAATTATAAAATATCATATGGAAATGTGAAACAAAATTCAACTAGCACGTGGTCAAGCAGAATCAACATTCAAGTGGCTTGCAGTGCACGCGGAATATATTATAGATGATTAATGGTTTCTATGGAACTTCGGCAAGTTAGTATTCCTTCAAGAGTGTTATGATACAAGATATTTGGATATTTGTGCCTTCTAATCATCACAAACTTAGGTGATCATAGAATGTTGATAGTTCATTATTTCAACAAAACATAGCAAATTAGTTTTATATAGAATATAGCTTATGCAGAGAAGTGAAGTAATGACAATTGTTTCACCATTCAAGACTGGAAGATGCCATGGCAACTTCCTCAATTTAAATGTTGCAAAAAGGATTGCCAAGTTAGTTAAAAATATATACTCTAGAAACTTATAGAACCATATAGATAAAACAATCACGAACATTTCAGATTCCAATCTCGTTTGCATAGTCCTTTGATTTGGAAATGTGAAATTGAGCATAAAAAATAGGCTATAATTAGCTGAGTACATTATGTAAAAAAATAATGCATGGAATACATGGATAGACCTTCATCAAAAGAACACCAAGTAACACCAGGAGAAATCAAATAACTATACTAGCTATCTCAAGATAATTTGCACAAGGGAATTAAAAGGTTGAAAGAGCAAAAGCAAAAATGTTGTTTAGGAAAATATGAATACTAAGTCTAAAATGGATCCAAGCAATAATCATAACAAGTTCTCTTCGGCGGTGTTTGGTTGCATCTTAGATTTACGTTAAAAAGAATTTATCAAATCCTATAAATTTAGATTCATCCGATCCCTGTTGCAATGGAAGAATTTGTGAGCGACGGAGGAATAAATATGCCTCACAATTGGAATTATGAAATCTGGATTGACGACCTAAAAATGACGGAACACAAGAAAATTGCATTTAGCAGAGCATTAAATTTAATATATATTTTTTTAATGTTTGCCTGGATGTAAGACAAATCCATAGCTAAATCCAATCAATAGTATGCTATCAAACACGTCCTTAGCGAAATAGTTAGCCAGTCACAGTTGTTATGAAAAATATTTAAAAAATTATTTTATGCCTTATAATCATATGCAATATAATAAAAGAAGAGAAAACATACAATGCATTTTGTATATCATAAAGGCGAATTGATTCATCAGCACTAGCCGTCACCAGATAACTCGTTGCTTTGTGGAAATCCATTGAACTGATTCTACCATTCTGAAATGCAGTTAAAATAGAAGGTAAAATACACACAACCTGTGATAGAAGGTGGTAGTTGAATGCTAAATTACTTTAATAACCCGATCAAAAACTATGAGTCCAAATTTAAAATCTAAAAGATTTCACTCTGGTAAATGCAATAAAGATGTCAGCAAATGACTTGATATTATTTAACAAAGTGCCACAGAAAACACCAGCGTTACTTAAGAAGAGGCTACAGTATAGCTTAAACGATATTTGCTTTTTTTTAGCAGCACAAAGGGACAATGGGAAAAGGAATATGAAAGATGTAGGTGTTACGCCGGGCCTAGCCCTAAGTGCAATTTTTTCTTTTATTAGCCTAAGGGAAATTTTGTATTTTATTATTATTATTATTGTTGTTGTTAGTATAAATAGAATTAATATGTTTAGGGTTGAGGGGATGCATCATATTGTGTCTGGAGTCATGGGTTTAGGGTTCGGGAGAATTTTCCTACCTCTAAAATTGTAGGAATTGGGAGAGATCACGTACCTCTCGAATTGTAGGTTTTTATCTTTATATTCTTCTCGTGTTTGATATTATTGCAAATCAGATGTTATTTGTCATAATTTGTGCCAAGAATCGTATCAAAGTGGTATCAGAGTTGAACTATCTAGCAGCCCACCGTCCATTTCCTTTCAATGTTTGCATCGTATCTTGAGATTCATTCGCAATTTAACCTAGTCGAGAGCCAATGACTGGATTGGCGTTTACAGACATGATCGAACCTCGCGATAGATCGCGAGATTGGAGCTTGCGGAGAAGAGCCACTAGATCACGACATATACGAGCAGCCTTCGTGACTGAAAGCAACGATCAACACGCCTTACTCGCGACAGTCGTGGAAAGAGGAAGTTGGTTGCAAATGATGGGATCACGACATATTACTTGTAATGCAGAGGCGATAGAGCGGAAGCAACGTCGGAATCACGGTGTACAGGGAAATGGGACCAAAGCCTTGCGATAAAATCGTGATAAGTGATAGCTGAGAAGCTCACGCATTGAGGAGATTACAGTTTCACAGTACATACACGATATGGACGATAGGATTTCAGTATGCAGTAGTTTCCCCTCCTTCCTGATCAAAACCCATCTTTGACAGGAATGATGACCAAGAAAATAGATGAGTTGGAAAAAAATTAGAGGAAGAGATGAGCCAAATTAAATTTGGAATGGAGGAAATGTTCTCAACCATAGAGGAAAGGTTTTCCTCAGTTGAAAACTGATTTGAGAACTTGAAAGAGATAAGGAGGCGGCTTATTGAGATTCAATCCAAAACCTTGCCGACGGTTCAATTTATAAAGTTTAACTAAGAGTTGATCGAAGAATCCTTGGATAGATTGAAAGAGAAAGAGATCGGATGAGAGAGCATAAGGAGGAAATATCCACCATCAAGAACCCCCTCCTATGGCTCCAATGGAAGGTAAATTAGAAATTTCCGTGGAAAGGGGTTGGGCCGAAACATAGAGAAGAGGTTATGCAAAGGGTATAAAGGAGTACGGAGAAGGAAGGAGAGAAGTTGGAATGTAATATGACTATGATCGACGAAGAGAGTTTTATCGTAGATACATGGGGGAAAACACAGGAGGGAGAGAAAGTTGGGGTGGAGATGCTAGGGTTCGAAAGTTGAAGATGTCAATCTTCGCAAGGGATGATTCACATGGATGGTTGTACTGGATAAAACAATATTTCGTTAAAAAAAGAATAATTCTCATCCTCTATATTCAAATTTGACTTCTATGCATGTGAACTAATTAAATATTATAGTATTTCATTTCCATCCTCTAACACAAGTCATCATCTTTATAACAACAACAACAATAAGCCTTTATCCCACTGAGGGTCTGTTTGAGGCAGCTGCAGCAGTTCGAAGAAGCAGCTGTTCAAAAAGCTACGATCACTATTACAAATTTATTTTAATTTCAGAAAGTCAGACCACGGCTTTCTAACAGCCACCACACTTTAACAGGTTAGGTTGAAAAAAACAGCTTTCTACCAAAAAATTTTCTAGAAAGTAGTTTCTCAAACAAAGCTGTGGTGGCGATCTGAAATAAATGCAGTCAGAAAGCTGTCCCAAATGGACCCAAAGTGGGCTTAGCAAACAAATCATCATTTTTTTCTTTCTAAATTAATTTAACTAGAACATTTAGGGTCAGCTTGATCCTTACTCTAGTTTTTGTTACTTTATTATCTTCATGATGTTTTTCGGGTCATTAGTTCACCTAAATATTGATTTGATGCCCATCACATCTTTCAAACCTTTAATTAAAAAATAAAAATTTAATTCTTATGCTCAATAAAAATTTTGTGCATCAACAATATTTTAGAATTCATGTTATCTCAGTTTTGCACCTCCTACTCCATTAATGGTACTATTCATTACACTAGTTGCCCTTATAACACTCAACAAAGTAGTGTCATTGGATGCAAAAAAGGCCAAATCCTTGTTATTATTAGAGCATTGATGTTATTTATGAATATTCATCGCCAATTATGGGGAGATTCCCTTTCATTATTTTTTGTATAGCATGGTTGATAATGATAGATTCGTGGTTGCTCCAATCTATCATAGTTATACTTATGATTTGGCTCTTTTCAATCATAGTACTTCAAAGCTTGGATGACCACTAAACCCTAGCACCACTTTCATTAGCTCCAAACAGTTCCTCATAACCATTACACCATCCAAGTTCCTCAAGAATTTATGCCTTTATATTGTGAAATCAGGCATTGTCTTTATATTATGATAATCAAGCCAACATATAAATCGTTAACAATCTTATTTTTCGTGAATGAATTAAACATATTAAAGTAGATTTCATGTCACATGACAGCTTGTGCTTTCTAAAATAAACTACTGTTTATCAAGTTTCCACTTAAAAACAATTAAACAAACTAAAGAAAATTTCAAGGCACCTTCCTTTATCTCATTTATGAAACAAACTTGCGTTAATTGATATATATACTCTAACTAGAGTGCATGTATCGGTGTCAGCGAGTTTAATAGGGAGGGTTCTATAGGAATCGTTGTTATTAGGAACATATATTATATCAAAAAGAAGTATTTTTTGATATCCTCATAATTGGAGAATTATTCTCTTCTTATCGTTTCATTATTATGATCCTTATGTATATCTACTTTTAGGCCCGTTAAATTCAGAAAATAATACCAAAAAAAAATCCTTTTAGGTCCATTATATTCAGGAAATCTACCAAAAAAAAAATCGTTCCTATCAACCCAAATGGTGGCACATTATGAGTATTTCTCACAGCCACGACTGCCAAGGTCAATATAATGACCAGTAGCAATGGCAATCAAATAAAAGGTGGAAAGGGAGTCGATAGCTTCTTGAATTGAATATAATATAGAGCAACGACAGTATTAGGAAATTGAATAGTTGTTCAACAGCTAAGATTGCAAATGTTGAAAGGATGGATGAAGCCCAGAGATAAAAGTCAGCAACTAGAAACCTTTTATTCTATTGGTGTTAGACTATAGTAACAATGCTCTACAATAAATCAACTTATCCCACTTATCGCGCATGGTGCTACATAAGTCTTAGATGGACAAATCCTTTTGTTAGAGAGCTATGAAGCAACAGGCACCAACATGGACGTGATAAGGCATGACAGCTAAAAATAATAAGACTTGCGATGCCTTGATTAGCATGATGCCCAAGGGCTATCTTTATATTTTAATTTTCTAATGTATTAAAAAATCTTAGGTCAAAAGTATTGGACTAAGTTATGATAAAGAGGAGGAGGTGGACCAAGTGAGGTGCTCCAATGTAGACTTAAGAGCAATGACTAAGTTTAGAAAAATTAGGGTTGAGCACTCGGAAAAGTCATAGTAATGTGTATAGCAATATTCTAGAGTTGATGGTACCAGGTGATTTAAGAACTTGTAGTGGACTTACAACCAAAACGGGGTACATAAAACCCAAATTTCTCAAGTTGCCTTATGGAGGCTCTTCTTTCTATATTTGATGTAACATGGACGCAATAGCGTTGAAGAAGAAGAAAGGGAGTTTTGGAGAGTTAGGACATGAATATAAAAGAAGCATATTAAGGAAAAAAATTAAATTAATTCCTCCAAGAATGCAAAGATCAGCCACCAAGACAAAAAAGAAAAAACGTAATTTTTTTTTTCAATTGTTCTTCAAATCATCAATAATTCATCATTATAGAAAAAATAAATATTTAAATGACATTACTCGAGGTTTACAACTAAAAAATTTAAATTCCTAAGGCTTAGGAGTGTTTCGATATTTGTAGGAGGAGGATGGAACTTGTGAGGAGGAAAATAATGGCGGGCCATTGTTTGTTGGAAAGTGGGCTGATGTGCCATTTTCTTGGTTAAAGATGATTAGGAATCCTATTCGGCCTTTAAAATATGCCAGAATAAAACTCTAAGTTTCTATTTGATACTAGAAATGATTTTGTGTCAAAATATGAAGTTTAATTTCACCATTTTCTGTTTGGACCTTTTTATTAGAACTCCAGCATCTTAATGTGACGTGACAATGAACTTACGTGCATGTGAATATCTGTTAAATCTCCTTAATGACTTATAAGACAAAGATATCCAATGGATACAACAGAATAACATATAACCATACACCATAAATTAATTTCATAAACAAGACCCTCACATAAAAAAAAAAACAAGTATAATGTATTGACCCTTAAGCATTTATTCTTTAACATGGATCTTGTGATAAGCCCATGATGCACTACATTCTACATTAGGAACACTACATGCCATGAAAATAGTTTTAAATATATATATATATATATATATATATATATATATACCGGGATGTTAGCGGGGGAAGACTCTCTTGATGAAATCGAGGAGGATGGTATCATGTTTTTTACTGATCTTTTTAATAGTGATGGTAATAACCCTCCCAAAATTAAGGAGGTGAATTATGATAACTTTGTTGATATCAATCGCAGGAATCTTACTCATATTTAT